GCGAGGGTCTGGGGGTGCCGGGCGCCGGCCGCGGGGCTTTCTGTCACCGGCGCGGGGAGCCCGGGGCCGGGGTCCTGTGGGGGAGGGGCGGAGGAAGCGGATGCTCATTGTTCCGCAAGTCCGCCGTTCGGGGAGCGGGGCTTTGAGCGGGGTCCCCAGCGAGCCCAGACGCACCCCGCTCCGGGCCTCGCGTGGATGTGCGCCCGGCGGCGCCGCCGGGGGCCGAGGGCGGAGCGAGCCGGGTCCTGCCCGCCGGCGGCGAGAGCGCGCGGGGCGCGTCCCGGGGAAGGGGAGCCCCGCGAGCGCTGGACGCGGGCTGGAGATGTTCGGGGGTTTCCGGGTAAAACCCTGGGAGCCACAGGGGTGCGGCGACGTCTGCGAGACGAGGACAGTCGGGGCTTCCCGGGTCCGTGGTCGCGGAGGAAGCGTGGCCGGCTTTCAGGAGAAAGTTGCGCTGGTCCCCGCTCTCGGACGCCCGGCGCACGCGCTCGGCCCCTCGGGAAAGGGCCCCCCGTGGGCGTCCGGCACCCCCGGAGCCTGCTTTCTTTGTTTCATCCGCGAGGCGAGAGCCGGGGAATGCCTCGCTCCTTCGCCCGGCCTTTTTCTGCAGGTGGAGAAGGGTGGAGCCCTCCCAGATGTTCGTTTCTGTGCTCCCCTCACTGCCTCTAAGATGGGGCCACCGTTCCAGCCTCTGCCGGTGAACCACCTCCTGCTGGGTTCGGAGCGGGGTCCCCCAGGGCGGCCTGCGGAAGGTGGGCGCTGCGCGCGGGGCTCGGCCGCCGGCCGGTGCCTCCAGGCAGGAGAGCCGAGCGGGAGGGCCGCCGGCGCCGTGAGAAGCCACCACGAGGTTTTCGCCCCGGGCCCGACTGCGCCGTGGCCCCTCCTCCATTTTGGTTCCACGTTTTCCCCTCCAGGTCCGGACTGCTTGGACGCACGGGGCCCAGACACGGCAGCTGGCGCTGGGCGACTTCCTTATTGGTTCAGTTAATCTGGTCCTCAGTTCCCAGGGCTGGAAAGCCCCCTGCCCTAGGTCCCAGAAGTGGATGCTGCCTTGGGCCCTGGTTGAATGCATTTTTAAAAATTATTTTTAACATTCTTACACCTTCTTTACTAGTACTATTACTAGTAATTCAAAGCAAAACCAGGATGCCCGCTCTTTTCCGGGAACGACCTGGTTTTTTTCAAGAATTTGCCTGCCCCCTTCGTCCCATAGCACGTTCCTGTTACGGGACCTTTTTCTTGGTTCGTTCACAGCTGTGGTCCCAGCGCCTCCAGCACGGCGTCTGCCATGTGATTGGGCCCAGATGTTAACCTGAGGACGGGTCCTCTGAGGGGAAAGGACGCTGACGCTGGAAGGATGCGTGCAGCGGTTAGAAACAAAATGACCTTGGTAACTAACTGAATAATTCAGTCCTACAGAGATGGAAACAGGCCTGAGAGGTGAAATGACTCCTTTCTCTTCTGTGTATTCCTGAACCATCAGGAGCTCTTAGTTGATACTCTGTAAGCTTGTGTTACTTCAGTAGCTGTCAGGTGGGAGCCCCTGAGCCCTTATGGGGGGGTGGGGGGTGGGGGGGCTAACTGCTGTCCCTCTTTCTCATCAAGGAGGACGATTGCAGACACTCCCAAGGGTCTGTTTTCTTGCAGGTTTTCAAAGCCTGTTTTACATTTTCCGCATTGATAAGTACTTTGTCATTGTTTGAGATTGTCTTATAATTTTTTTTTGGTTAAAAAACTTCAGAGGAGCTTTGGACTTGTACAATTCCATCTGGGAGTCCATTTGCTGCCATTCTATCTTGATTCTGTTGTTTCAGCCCTTAGCGCCTTTCCTCCAAGGAATTCGAAGCTTTCCTTTCCCGAGGATGGTCCTGGACAAAATGGACCACCTCTGGAAGTCTCAGGGCTGAATGCTATAGTGCCGAGTGCCAGAGGGTCTGGAAGCTGAGCTGCTCAGCTCTGCCCCGGGTGCTTGTTACAGATGGGCCTGTTCAGGGAATTGGGAGAAGGCCAAGGGCCTGAGAACATCATCACAAATGACAACTTCAGAGCTCGAAGGAGCCTAGCTCACAGCCGCTGGACTCATCACTTAGCGGTGAGAAAGGCAGTGTGTTCGGATCCCGTATTGGGTGGCAGAGCCAGTGCCCCTGCCGTCGCCGCCTTGTTTGAAAATTGGCTCAGGCTGTGGGGAGAACACGCATTGACAGCTTCCTTGGGAAGGGCCTGTGTGGAAAGGTGGCAGAATGGCTTCCGAGGGACTTGACCGGAAATGGGGGTGCAGACTGTTCTATTCCCAGGAGGCCAGCAGCACAGATCTTGCCTGTTCTCACCCCCACCCCTGACCCAATAAGAAAAAGCAGCTCCCTGTTCAGCTTTTCTCCAGGGCTCTCATTTGTCTCAATGTTGTGGCTGTCCTGGGCACAGGTATTTTATCTCAGACTGAATTATTTTGGTCGGAGAAGGCAACAGTATTGAGTGCCGTAACACGGGTCACATTTTTTAGTTTGTTTTAGAAGTGAAGATAAATTAGAACTTTCGAGTAAGCTTTGCTAGGCTGACATGGTAAACCAGTGTGAAAAGCTCATCTTTAAAACTGTGGTGAGTTGAGCAAGTTACTTTGATCTATGTGAAAACCCAGATTCTCGTATTTCCTCCTATGGCAGAGGTCTAGAGACCCCAAGAAGTAGCCCTGACGGGGGAAAAAGACCAAATAGTTTGAACTGATTTGCCTGCATATATATCCGTGACGTTAGGTGCCATTCCTCCTCTTGATTTCTGCTGTCACTGCCACGCTGACATTCTCCCCATCTGCCCCTTCACACTGCCACCTGGTCTTCCTTGGCTATAGCTCTGCCTGTGTCACTGTCCTTTCTGGGAACTGGCTGACTCCCCATTGCCTGGGCTACGGGTCAAACAGCTCAGCAGGGCTCAGATCCCCGGGACCCCCGCTGTCCCAGACTTCATTTTCTCACTCGTACCCACTCCCCCGCACCCACGTGCACACAGACCCCTCTGTGGGGCCACTTTTGGGGACACTCCTGCTCATGGTCCTCTCTTTGGAATGAACTCGAAGCCTTTCAAGCCTCAGCCCTGGAAGCACTTCCTCCAGGGAGTTTTGCTCTCCTGTTTCCTGAGTCGGCACCGTCTCCAATGCTTCCGTACGTTTCCCACTTTCTGCCTCGTGTCGCACACCGCGCTAAAAGCTCTGAGTGTCTCGTGGGTGCCTTCGCACCCGTTCCAGCATTAGGAGTAGTGCTGGTGTCTGTGGAACTGAGGGAGGCAGCCCATGATTTGTAATGACCCTTTTATTTTTTTTTAATTCATGAGGCTATTTGAACTTGGATTTGAAGCCACAGATGAAACCATTTTTCACTGATATTCATGTTACAAGGACTAAAAAGGAAAAGGTCCCTGAACCCTAAGACCCGGGTCCTGCTTCTTAGTAGTGCTCCTTTAGCTCGGACTAAACAGGTATTAGGTGAGTGACTGTCGGTGTGCAGAATACTGTGCTATGGGCTGGGGGTTGAGGGGAAGTCAGGATGTAAGGAAACGGGAGCGGACGTGTTTCATAGTTGGAAGCTGCTGAGACCACTGCTAGCGTCAAGCCCGGTGTGGTGAAAGGTGCTTGGTGATATCTCCCCTTTGAAGTCAGCTGGTCTCTTCCGGTGGATGGGTGGCACTGGGAGTTTTTTTAGTAGAGGTCACATAGCTAGTAAGTGATCAAACCTGGACTGGACTCCAGATTTTCCCTTTATTGTACTTTCTCCCTCCACAAGCCACAGCTCATGCTCAGAGGTATTTTTAGGGAGGCTGGTCTGACTGTTTCTGAGTAATACAGACCAGCCGAGGACATGGCGGTCCCCTCCGAGGTGCGGGCTGTCAGCTCGGCTCCACCATGAGTCAGCAGCTGCTTTGGGAGCCTCCTGCTCGCGACCCATCACCCTGTTCCTGGAAGCTGAGCAGCCACCCCCATCTGGCCAGACGATTCATTCCATCCACACCCTCCCTCTCTCAGGGGCTCCCAGAGCCTTGAGACTGGTCTGGCCCTAATGTTGGCTCAGAACTGGTGTCCCCCTGAACCGCAGCCATCAGGGTCTGCTTTGAACTGGCCCTTCTGGCCTCCAGCGACTTCCCCTGCTGGGCACTGCGCACTCTGCCCTGTGCCTGAGGGTCTTTGCACTTGTTTGCCCGAAATTCTCCTCTTTGCCCCTTGTGCTGGCGCCTAGCACAGGGCGAGGCAGACGAGATGAAACGGTGGGGCTCGCAGCCTCCAGTGGGTCCTCTGGCTGCTCTGTCCTCTCTGTCCCTGGCCAGCTGTCTCCTTCTTTATTGCCTGTCTGAGTGTCCCTGAAGTGTGGCTTCTGCCACTCTCTGTGGTCACCTAACCCCAGCTCACTACCACGTCGTGCTTGCTTAGATCTTCTGCCTGATGGGGTCATTTCTTTGTTGAGTCTGGCTTTTACGAGTTTCTGTGATGGAGACAGGTTGTCTGTGGGAATTTCACGGCTGAAGACCTGATTGTTTTGCCAGTGGGCTCGGAGAGGGCGCTGTTGGAACTGCTCAGGACCTCCAAGGCCTTTTCGGCGCGGGTCTCAGCTTTTAAAATCAGTTCAAGGTTGAAGGGTGTACTTACTATTCTGTATGCTTTCTTCTCTACTAAACCGTATTTATCTTTAAGCTGATTTATCATTAAAGCATCCCATCATCTCTATTGTAATGCATCATGTATATGTATATATGAATCATGGAAGTACAATCCATATGTAATTATGAAACAAAAATGGGAATTATAAAAAGGAGAAAAGTGAAATAGACACTTAAAATTGTGGTTGCTTTAAAGGTATAAATCTTTTTGATTCTTACAAAACTATTTTTTATTTGTGACTAAAGAATGTTTTATTTTTTTAAAAAATCTTGTTTCCTCCGTGGGGATTCATGGATCTTGGATGATGGTGAGAGTGGTCTTGGGGATAATACAAGGCTAAAGGTTTGGTTCTAAGTTTAGTCTTTTGAGTCTTGATTTAATGACCCTCATGTTTGAAAAAGTCAGCCCCTGAAGAGATCCTGGTATAAGAAACTCATCATTTGCCGGGGTTACAAACTCACAATGGGCCCATCCCCCAATTATGCAGTGCCTTTTATTAAAAACCAGCTAGAAAACATGCAATCTATCTTTGTCATCCTTCAGTTGTGTTTGCAAGCCAAGATGCCCATTTAAAGCTTTTTACCCAGTGAATTCAAAACCCACTGAAAACTTGCATTTGGAATGTTTTACAAGTTTTGACAGTTTCTGTTTGCCAGTTTTATAGGTGCAAAAGGAGTCTTCGGCAACAAAGTTGCTTAATAATGGAAACATTTCAAACATCTTTTTAGCACTTTGATCGTGTAATTTCAATCCATGTGTTTTCTTCCAATTCTACCTAAAACATCAAGTCAGAACTTAATTTTTGAAAAAGTAAACTATTTCCAAATGAATTATGTAACTGCGAAGTTTACACGAAAATAAAAAGGAAAAGACAAGGTTTTCTAAAAGACAAAATAAAGGCGTAACAGTTGTCAGGTGTTGACAGAAAAGATCCATAAGTATTCAGCCTGCATGCATGCCCGAGTTAAAAGTGTAACATGAGAGTTCACACGGAGAAAGCCGAAGTATTTACAGTCATACAATTACCATCAATAGACTATTTAACATCATTACCTGAACCATAGAAAGAATCACAGACAGCATTGGGCATTTAGGCTTCTCATACGCAGTAATTTGATTTTGCATCTGGTTCTAAAAAGAGTTGCATATGCTTTGAGAATTTTGAATGATGCTTGGGAGAGTGACTAAAAAAAAAAAAAAGGTTGCTTTGCCACCTGGCTATTACAAATGATCTTTCCATCACATAGATTTCGTTTTTATTTTTATTTTTTAAAGATTTTATTGGGGAATTGGGGGGAGGGGAACAGTGTTGGAGAATTGGGGAAGGGGAACAGACAAGTTGCTGTCCTTTTGTTCTTCAGTCTAGTTGTGGAGTACGTCGCTTCACTGGCCCATGTTGGTATTGTGATCATTGCACTCTTCCCAGGTGGGGCAGTCACTCGCCGGCCATTGGACAGCCGCACATGGCAGCTGTCAGCCGCTTATGCTGGCTGCCAGCCACTCACAGTAGCTCACAGCAGCAGGGGCTGCAGCCTACGCCATTGCTGGCAATTCACGGTTCCAGGTCGAGCTGTTGTTCACCATCTTAGCTGTAGAGGGCGCAGTGTCACTGGCCGTCATGTGGGATCCGAACCGGGGCCCTGCTGCTCAGAGCTGGCGTCCCAAGCCAACTCTTAACCAACGTGCCACTTGGCCGGCCCCTTTTTTAAAAGTGGTGATTTGTACATGGTTACTCCCTAGGAAACTGT